TGCAGGAACATCCGGCACCAGTTAAGCCAGAGAAGGTCGTCCTGATCAACCTCAAGATCCATGAACAAGTCAATCAGGAGGGCGTCATGATGACACCTTAAAGATAGGGCCGGAGAGTCAAAGGCCATGTACATATCCAGAGATTCAAGTTCCTTCCATACCCGTTTAAGCCAGGTATCAGAAGCCAGAATGGATGTATTCTGGTAATCTTGCTGTAGAAGACCAAAGGAGGTACCAGTTTCCAGTTGGTGAGCCTGGAGATTGGCGTCCAAGTAGGCTCCAGTCTTTGTACCCCCCAACATATGGCGCAGGATCATCTCCAAGTGTTTGTACACTTGCTTGCCAAAGGGATGAGGAACACCAAGGCCTTGATAATCCACCGGGGCAAAGACCACCGAACGGGGGAAGTTGCGGCAAACACCTGACTTAGGTAAGCACACCTGGAGAACCGGTGATATAATGTCCTGCCATTGTTGAGCGTTGAGGGTAGTGAGTGCCTCCACTGCACGGAGAGTGTTTGTGCACCATTTGAGGTTCTTACGTCAAGTGATACTGATCTCTGATTGCGGAACCCATTTACGGAGGACTTGGTCGGTTTTTGTCAGAGTTGGCTCATACAGGTGATGAGTCAGGAAAGGGACCAAGCCCCTCAAGACGTTACGAGCCAATTGTCCAAACTTCTTGCGACACACCAGGATGTAGGTGCCTTCCATCTCGCCGGGTAGAACCATCAAGAACAGCGGGCCGGACTTGTGACGCTCCTGATCATTCTTCAGCTTACGGTCAGCAACCTCAGCCATTTTCCGTTGGGCTGGGGAGAGATCGTTAAGGAACGGATTCTCATTATCTGTGATCAACTTCTTCTTCTTCTTTGCCTTCTTTTTCACCTTTGTTGCCGCCTTCTTAGACCGAACTCCTGTGAATTGACCGCCTTTAGAGCCAGAGGATTCATTGGGATCGTCGTCAGAAGAGTCATTGTCTGAGTCATCGTCTGAGTCATCAGTCTCAGTTGTTGATTGATGGACATGAGAAGCTTTGTTGGCTTGAGCTGAGGTTGCCTTGATCGACAGGAGAAGCTTAAACAAGGTGCATGAGCCAAACGTAGTAGTAGTTGCGAACTTGAACATCCCGGGCAGATCCATGACCGAATACAGGACCTCTGTCAGGATGTAGTAATCATGTAGTTTGCTAATAAGGGTGAGGGTAGCATCCTTAACCGGACCATAGGCCTTCACACTGATCAAGCCCTGTTGAGCAGACTTCCAATCACTGATAAATGTAGCCGGAGCAGCGAAGGGGAAGTCTGGCTTTGCTGTGGATGGATTAAGAAGGCTTCTTAATTCTTGATCGACTCTTTTGGCATGAATCTTGCGAGCGTACCCATGGGGACTTGTTACGCCAGGGGAACGTTCGTTGAATTTAGCACGTCCTGTGTAAGGTGTAGAAACCCAGTCCATCTTGATGCCAATAGGGATAGAGAAGTCAAAGTGACGCATGATTTCTTTCGCATAGGCGTCAAAATTGACCTCCGGCGGGATAAAGGCAAAGCAACCCACTTTAACAATGTCCCCATATTGAAGCGGCGACGGGTAACATCCGGCACCGCGACCCTGGGAACGGAGACCAGTGTGAAGATAGTCCTGTACCGCCTCTTCCGACGTGTCCCTTGCAAAGCCGACCCGCATTCGGGTACGTAGTTTCTTCTCGCCAGGCTTGCTGTTGGTTGCTGCATAAGGAGAATTCCCATATTCCATATCGCAGTAAAGACTCAGGGCCCGGTAGGACGAAATTTTGTTGCGTAACTCAACCGAGTTCCGAATCCACCGGTTCTGTTGTTTATAAGTGTCGTCGGAGATAGGAAGGATCTTCAACTCGTGAAAGGAGTTGTTCAAAGCTTCCTCCATGGATGTCAGCACCGCAGATAAAATGGCCTCAGCAACCGTGCCGGAGTCCGATCCCGAGAAATTTGTCGCAAATGTGGTCTCAAAAATATGACATCTGCAGGTCATCCCATCCAAGTTAACTTGAATTAATTTGTTAAGTTTCTCAGCAAGAGTGGGCGGTGGAGCGAGGCGACGTGTAGGTGGAGGTGTATGGATCAATGAAGAGCTGTCCTGAGAGACCTGAGTTGGGCTTGTCAAGTTGTCAACCGCCATGTTGTCGTCTTCTGACCTCACCAGTGCTTCTACAGATTCTGTCTGAACCACCTCACCATTGGTCACCGCATCATCATTCTCATTATCATCATCATCCTCATCTCCGTCGTCCTCATCATCTGAAGAAAGTGGTGGGCGTCTTGGGATGTTTCGGACCGCCGTCAGTAGTATTTCATCGTCATTGTCGTCCTGATTTGGTTGTTGGTAGGCATCACCGTCAATAGTAGTGGCATTGTCGTCCGCAGCCTCGGCATTGTCAGCATTTCCCCCACTCGATCCGTCTTCATCCGCCAGTGCCTCCTATCTATTGTCGGTCAGATTACGATGACGCTTCCTTTGATCCACTAAAGTTGTTTTGTTCAAATGAGACTGGCCTACCGCCTTGTCCAAATGGTCATTCACTGGATCACTGATCTTCTGGATTGCATGTTGAATATGATGATTTGAACTTTCTGGTCGGAAAAAGGACTGAAAAGGTGCCAATCGTTTTTGTTTGATGCCACGAATGATTGACGAAGACGGCTTGTTATAGTAGTTGTCGTCAAAGGTTGTTGCCCATGGATAATCAAACATTTCAGAACAAATCAACCAAAAGCCAACAAGCGGATTTTCCAGACGAAGGCGAGGATCCGACTTGTCCCCTTCAAAGAATTGATTGTTGTTCTGGTTTTTCTCAAATTCGTCAATATCAAAGAACGAGAAAGGGTTCTGCAATGAAATTTGCATTGCAAGAACTCGCAGTGACCAGACGTCTTCGGCTGCTGTATCCTCGATTGTGTAGAGATCAAAAGAGGAGATGAGATATTGAGCCAGTTGGGCGTTATCAGAGTTGAGATAAGTAAAAATCTGAAGAAATCGATCGTTGCATGTTGATGTGCCGGCATAGTTGTTGAACAGGGCATCAAATCGCAAACAAGGTTGATTCCAAGCGCCTGGATATCGATCATCCCAGGCTGCAAATAAGGCGTTGCCGGTTTGAATGCGATCCATTCTTTGCATCGCTTGATTGACTGCTTCACCGCAGTACAATTTCTTTGACCACCACTCAGATAATTTAGGGACCAGTTTATTGTAGTCCTCTCTTCGCCGCGACTCTCGCTCGGCGATTCGTTGTGCCTCGAATTCGTCGGCCGTTCGTAGAGCGTCTTGATCATCGGCAATTTGCTTGATGTCAACATCATTGGAATTGACAGGATCTCTGTCTTTGGGCTGTTCCAAATCAATTTCCAGTCGTTTTTTCATCGCTTTTTTTCCTACAGAGGAAGCCTTGGACTTAGCCACACCCAGCTTTTTTGCATTAGCCGAGGTAGCCTTCGAAGCTGGAGATTTGCCCATGTTTTGCCAGTGTTTTGCCGTTTGTTTGTTGATAAATTCAAAGTTTTCTACGTATAATCAGTACTAGCGCTACGCGGAGCAGATTGGCTGGTTCTGCGTGTTTGCGTGTTGTTTCGTTTCTGATTTTCTTTTTTCTATGTTCCCGACTTGTTGGAATGCCAAATTGTGCACCCGTTCTCGGATGGAACGCTTGTGCTTAAGGTTTCCTTGCAACTGTGCTCCATTTCTTCGCGTGTCAATTCGTTTCTTAATCGCTTGATACAGCGAGACTCGGAGTCTTTTCATTCGTGCTTTTCTTCTCATTGCACGCCTGTTTCTCAAAACGTTTGGCACAGGCGGATTCCTTTTTTGCAGGTATGCCTGTCCAAATCTTGATTTCTCTCTTCTGTGTCTCTAAGTGGGTCTCATTTTTACCCCTTGCGAGAAGTAGGATCGATTGTGTCTTGGGCAAAGTACCCGTTTCGTTCCAACTTCGACACCGTCGTCACTGTAGCTTCTTACAATTCCTTCCGTGTTGGACTCATCATCATCTGTGTCCGCGAATCTCACTCCTGCGCGAGCGACACCATCTTCCTCTTCTGATTCAACTTCCACATCTTCTTGTGCGTCGTCATCAAACTCGAACAGAACCTCTTCTTTGTCTGGTTTTCCAAGTTTCACTAACTCAGCTACCAGTTCGTCTAACATTTGCTTGGTCTCTTCATCGTCTAGTTCAGACTCGTATTCGTCTTTGTAGTCCATGTCCTCATTGGCAGTTATCCATTTGTGTTCTTGGTAGTCTTCGTCCATCAGATCTTCAGCATCTTGTTTAGCCTTAATCTTCTTGAAGATTCTGTTGAACATTTTGTCCTCTAGTTTGTCTTCATATTGATTTGCTTCGCTATCGTATCTTGGGTTTCTGTCCCTGGTGAACCTTGCTTCCATGATGTCTGCTTCAGCATCCATTAGTAATTCATCAAGTTCGTCATCTGGAATATTGACAGAATTCTAATAGGAACGGGACTCGTGACTTGACCTATAGGATTACCAGGTTGAAGTGTAGCCTGTGCCTTGCACGCGTCGCACCTGCGTGAACCGCTACACGCCATTGATTTAACGTAGAGAATGCTGAGTCATCAGCGTTCTGCGGTAATTCTAGAGATTTGCGTGGAAAAGTGATGAACGATCGC